ATAGGATATTTTCACATTCTGGGTCACGACTGTTTGTCTCAAGGACGATTCCACGTGTGCTGGTACGAGGCCGACGTATTTCTGTGACACAATATTGTCTAAACGTCTTCACTGGATATTATTTACGTCGCGCGAAGTGACACTAGAAAATTTTAATAAAATCATTGCAGCAAGGTCTTAGAGCATGTTCCGCTCTATGTTGTGGTTATTTAAAACGAGGACGTTTATATTCTGGAATTCGCTCGAATATATTTTGAAATACTTTGGACTTGATACGAAACACACTTTCGTTCTTATGTATAGGCATGCAGAACTTTTACCTATTAATACGAGAGTTGTTTACACACGTCATATCATTTGGTGTATCAATATTCAGTGGGCAATTTGATAGTTTTTATCGATGATAATTAGGTTCACGTTCTAATCAATTAATATCATCGTGTCGCCTATCGCCCACCACTCTCCCGTTACATTACCGTTAGTATAATGTTGATGACATCGCGAGCCTACAATATTATTTCACCTGTATATTGTAGGTCATATGGTAATTACATTATTATTTTCCGTTGTGTGCCAAGAAGTGGCTTCCAAAGATGATTCATTCGTTACAACCGAGAATGCAGTTCGGTCACTGAGTGTTCCGCAGTGATGGCATCTTTGCTAACCTCAAATTGTATCTTGATCTATGGACACACGTATTTGATACGACCACATCTGACACGGTAAAAGCAATCTAATTACATAGCTGCAAAATATAAATTCCTCTACGCGACCCGACCCCGAGACTGCTTGCAGGTAGAATTTTTTACTGATGGCTCATACTCCTTTGTTTATGCCTACTTCGACTCTTTACTCTCACAATTATTGATCTTCCAAGTGATATATCGTCACAATCAATTAAATTACTACCTGAGAAAGTGGGACTCATTACTTTTAAGCATTACCTATGTAAGATGGTCTACCTTCTGTACACGAATTGCAAAGATTAGTCCAATGGTTACTTACTGAAATGCGCAAATCATTTATCTTTGGTGACTCTATCCATAAAAAACATCATCTGCTGGAGTGGACATAGGCCACCCCTATATTTCAGCTTGTATTCGTTCGCTTCGATAACGATTAATCAAAGAAAATAATCATGAAGTTACGACTGTAAAGTTAAAACTAGTTAAAAACCATGATATCGTAAAGTCCATCATTGTAGTTATCATTGAATTAATTGTCAAGTTGGACGACAACGCGATCACGCGTTTCATTCAATGAATCAATGGATTCTATTTATCAGAGCTGGCCTTGAAGCACCTCCGGAACGAATTGCTTGCTTGCATTGCTTGACTGGCACTGCCAAATAGGCATTCTGTTCATTTGTAGGTGTTTTGATCATTGTTGAGTAACAATCGACGAATTATTTATGTGGCTATTTATAAAGTGACATCAAAGAACATTTCTTTTATGGTTAAGATTTCATTTATTGCGGTTAAGCGTGGTGAAAGAAAAATGCTTAGTAATGCCCCATCAGTCTATAAACAGGAGCACTTCTATTGAACTTTAATTCACCTCACTCAATATTGCGATTTAGTATAGCTTCAGATATTTATTTCTTACAGAAAATACATTCGCTTGAATTGAGAAACACTGGTTGTACAGGGAGCAGATTATCAATATTAGGCTAAACATACCTACTTGTTAAAACGTTTCTAATTTAATTCTGGCAATATCCATCGGTATTTTTATAAAGTACGCAAATAAAGATACGAGTTTATCTGTATTTCCCATGGCTACAGACAGCACATGTTATTTAAATTACAATAATTATGCCATCAGGTAGGTATTTAAAATGGTTTTAATTATTCATCCAACTGTTTTAAAATGCTGCGCTTTCAAGAAATTCACAATTCTCGTATCAACAGAGACCTTGAAGAGGTTTTAGATTATTTGGCAGAGTTGGCAGCTTTACCTAGATCTTGAAATTTTACACATAGGAATAACTACAAGGTACTTACGAAACTAGAAGTACCTTGAAGTACTTCACACTAGCTAGAGAATGAACGGTCATCCAAAATTAAAGTTGTGATAATAATTTTACAGCTAGAGCTTTTCAGATAAGCCTACACAAAACTGTGTTAAAATTGTTATTCATAGAGCGTATAATTCAGTCGCTAATTGAATTCTAATTTGATACAAAATCAATGAATTTGAAATCCTGTTTGGGGCTATTTATTTTGCAACTTATTTTCTGGCAAGTTTGAATTTATGAATTTGAATGTGGTCTAGATTGTAGATACCTTGAACACGCTATCTAGCCAGTATTTACGGCGCTGGCATGTGAAAGTGCTAGTAGTGTTCAATTGTGTCTATATCGGTCGAGGCTAGGTACACTCCGACCCATAAGTATTAGAACAATAACGTTTAAGCTTTACCAACAAGACAAGCACGAATTCTGAAGAAGGGCTTTAAATTCCAACTTCAAATTGAGATCATGTTACTTAGAAAACAACATGCAACAACTGCAAATATTGCAAAACTTTTCTTAGTTTAGTAAGTTGCTCCTAAAAGGTAGGTAAGGTTCTAGCTGCGGTAAAAACTAGTGAAATAGATTTGAAAGTTAAACCACTACGTAACACTATCTACTAATAGTGTAGAATTAAGTACTTTTCGTATCTCCCATTTTGTGCTTTTCGTCTCAATTAAAATGACTCTACCGTCAATGAAGTAGGTAATTCTCACAGTCTGATCAATGAACTGTATTAAATAAGTAAGGAATAACACAGACCGCAAATTCCCAATGCCAACTGTACAATTATGCGAGCAACTGTTCGCAAATTCGGAGCTAGGGTCGGACCCTCCTCGTGGGCCCCTACCTGCAAGTGCAGTATTGATTAACGCCACGGTCTGCACTCCGAATTGTATTTGCGAACACATTTTCTGTCAGTTAAGTACGGAATTATCATTCGGTTGTGTAATTTTATGGCCTTGGGCGTTCTAAATTTGGTAGATGTGATTTATGTTTACTTGCAAGACTTTGTGGAATGTGAACATAAATAGAAAAAGTCTTTTTGAAAAGAAGAAAAGACAAATTATAGTAAGATTCAAAATAATCAATTTACGAATAATTTANGATGGAATTGTTTAATCCCGGAGTTGCTATGGGGCCACTGGCATTCCAGCTCTATCATCAGATCGACTCCATGTCATCACAATATTGCATTGTCATCCGAATTACATGTATATCTAAAATTTTAACTCAATTAGTTGTTGAAGGATTTCTAATAAAAAGACGAGATTAAACACATTTTCAGTTTATTCTTCATAAGTGACACAAAGAGAATGACAATAGACAAAAGAAGAAATATTTGCTTTTTTAAACCATAGACAATACTACTATGTGTTCCAATACCTACAGTTGTCGTCAGGAAGTTGGTCAAACAAATTCAGCTTGCAAGATTCCACCCGAAGTTACCTACATATTACATGTTCAAATTTCGAGAACGGCTGAACCGACAAAGACATTAGAAAATTTACGAAAAAAAAATATCCCGTACAAAATTTTCATGGATTGTGTTATTTTTATTAAATACCTTTATGCCTGAGTTAAGTGACACCGACATCAAGGTTCATCAATTCAAGTTTAAAATAGGCAGTAATGTCATGAAAAAAGAGCTTCTATTCTGTATCTACCTATGCCCGTGTAATTTTGATCGGTGTCAAATCGGAGTTTTCGTGCGGGGTGCGCGGGTGTTTCGCGCGGCGTGAAGGTCAAACGCCCAAGGTCATTGAGGACTCTAATCGCCTTAAATTGTAATAATTTCTTAGAAAAAATTGCCAACCTACTGAAACTACTACAAGATACTTGTTAATATTAACTAGGTTACACCTTCTATTAACGTAAACAGCGATAAAGCTTAATAACTTGTTGGATTTACAATTGAAAGCAGAACCTATTTATCACTAAAACCTACGGTAACCTACTTAAAATATTGTATCTATTCAGGCAAGAACGCATAATTAGAATGAAATAAGCAACAATTCTAATATGCACTAAGAATTTACGTTGATAGGTAGTATTATAAATGATACTGATGATGTAAATGTAAAGACCTCTCATTACCGAATCTAATTTTAGACCAAACCAGTTTCTCAATATTTCATTAAGTGGAAACCGCAAGTCAATAAATTAATCTGATTGATAGACGAACCAAACTCGGCTGGAGACCACAAAATATCTATAGGTAAATTGTACAAACGTAATACATTCTCCCCTGTGGGTTCATTATTGTCCGTCGTTAATCCCTTGGCTAATAAAATATTGCATTCATTTTCAATAGACTCGAGGCATAGTCTATTATCACAAGATTATTTATTTTGTACTTAGAGCAATGTAAGTTCTCTTAAAATGGTGGTTTTCTATTTATTATTTCCATAGTCATTGCAAAATTCTTGCGAGTACCAAAATCTTTTGCCAAAACGAATCACGGCGGAACGCTCTTTGTAAATCTTGTGAACAGTAAATTGTCTCATATTTCAAGTCTCTCGACAATCTACTAACATTTTGTAATATGTTACCTTCATAAGCTTCATAATAAATCCTTTACGCCCCAGTAGACATTTATTACAATTAAAATAGATCACATGGCAGCCAGTTGTTTTAGGATTTGTCCAATTCCTTACGACTTCGCCATTATGAGTTATTCTTATTTTGTTCTAATATTTTAGAACAATTTTTAGGATCGGTCATTGTCACGATTGATACCGGAGGCCCAATTGGGGGGGAATGGGATTTAAAAGGTTGGCAGCGCACTTGTGACTTCACTGATGTTGCGGGTGTACATGGGCGACGGCAATTGCTTACCATCAGGTGATCCGTCTGCTCGTTTGCCTCCTATCACAAAAAAAAAAAAAAAAAAAAAAAACGATTTAAAAGAAACATTGACCAAGAATCACACTTCATTGTATTGCTTGTATTCTTTCATTTGTTTAATCGTCTCCTCTTTTCCTTCCAGACCTTCACAGCATGGTGCAACAGCCACCTGAGGAAGGCCGGCACCGGCATCGAGAACATCGACGAGGACTTCAGGAATGGCCTGAAGCTGATGCTGCTGCTCGAAGTCATCTCAGGGGAGACCCTGCCCAAGCCCGACCGCGGCAAGATGCGCTTCCACAAAATCGCCAACGTCAACAAGGCTTTGGACTTCATTGCTTCTAAAGGTGAGCTTTGATTAACAAAAAATACTGAACATGGTAATGAAGGAGCAAATTACGCTTCGGCATGGTCATATGCGATGCAAAGTACTTAGTCTTATAATAAGTCGATATCGCATTTTTTCGATGGTTTTCCAAATTCCCTGCGAGGTCATATTCTTGTAGCAGAATAGAACCTCATCCAATATTTATGTTAGGTATATCCAATACAAAATGGGATATCCCGAAACTAAATCAATCGGAAATTGTACCCAAGGCTTATCCCTTTACAACAAAATTTACGATTAGGTAGGTACGTGATTCGTAATAATACTAGGAAAGCTCAAGGTTCATGCCTGGAAAAGATCTATAATGCATTTATTGTATATCATTTTCGCAACTAAAAAGCCATTTCTTTTAACCTAAATCGTATTAGGTACTTGCGATTTATAACATCTACAGCCGTATTATGCTAAAGCACGTTTCTCGATTACTTAAGTAGGTACCTACTTATTAGTTACTTTACAATGTTCAGAGGTTTGATAAAGGAAGGCATTTAAAAACAATTTTATCGCTACGACCTCCTTCAGAACTGAATTCCTTTCTTTGCTTAGTAGAAAAATCAATTAATACTCTAATGTTAATCATTCATTTTAATTTAACTAATTTAATTTTATTAATTTTCAGGAGTAAAATTGGTATCAATTGGTGCCGAAGAAATCGTAGATGGCAACCTGAAAATGACCCTGGGTATGATCTGGACCATCATCCTGCGATTCGCCATCCAGGACATCTCAGTAGAAGAAATGACCGCTAAGGTACAGTAACAATTCAAAATGACGAATCATCAATCAATTAGATGGAAATACATGCAACAAGATAAGAGTTAGTTAGCAATTAGAAAGTGATCAGATTTGCATCTTCTCAGTCCATCACAGACCAATCTTGAACGAGTAGATAGTTATAAAAGTAGCAGCTTGTTTTTATTCCCAATATGTGTGACATAAACATTTATACACCATTGAAATACCGTCACACTTTTATTTTTTTTAAACCACTTTATAATATTTTCATAATTTGAACAAACTGTTTCTCGTATAAGACCAACATTTTTCTAAATGAAAATTCTTTGATTCGAATAGCAAATACTTATTATCCATAATATGATTACAGGAAGGTCTCCTTCTCTGGTGCCAACGCAAGACGGCGCCGTACAAGAACGTCAACGTCCAGAACTTCCACCTGTCCTTCAAGGACGGTCTGGCCTTCTGCGCGCTCATCCACCGACACAGGCCCGACCTCATCGACTACAGCAAGCTGTCCAAGGACAACCCGCTGGAGAACCTCAACACCGCCTTCGACGTCGCTGAGAAGTACCTGGACATCCCACGCATGTTGGACCCTGATGGTGAGTGCCGAGCTTTGTTTTGGCTTCTACATTGCATGAACTGAACAAACAATATCCATATTGGAAAACTTTGATCCATAATGATATCAAGGAAGCCTCTACACGGATGAATCACAAAAATTCTGCCATAGGCTATCCTTTTACTAGTACTATAAAGCTACAAGGAGACCAAGAAAGAGTTCAAGACAAATCGAAGGAGAATTCTGTATGAATTCAAGAACTGTTGTTACTTTATGAACTTAACTGACGAAAGACATGTATTTGAAGTAAATGTATAAATATTACAGACCTCATAAACACACCAAAGCCGGACGAGCGCGCCATAATGACCTATGTGTCATGTTACTACCACGCCTTCCAAGGCGCGCAACAGGTATCCAAACAAAGATAGCCGCGAAGCTACGCCGTTGACACCCGACCTAACGCCAGGCCTTTGTGTGCCACTCATAGCATGGACTTGAGCTTCGTCATAGTTAGACATAGCAAGCTATATCTACTATGGCTTCGTTGGCTGGATACGCGCCTGTCACATAAATCAAATTCTTTCCCGACCCAATTCTAGCGCTGGAATGCGCTGTGACTTTCAATGCCACATTTTTTATGCGTTGCTATCTGACAACGAATACATTATAATTCAAAGTATTTCTATCGTCGAGGTGGGGGTAATATAAAGATTTTGATACAAGCGTATCCAGCCAAGTTAAAAATATCCTCAGGAATTCCAGCAAGATCTTCCTATCACTTTATAAAAAGTTTGGAAGATATTGCAACGTTAGTTCCGCAAAACAAACCTTATCAGTATCCAAAAATAATATGAATGTTATAAATGTCGCTGAAACAATGTTATTTTAAGCTTTGTGTCATTAACTGTTCCCTTACCTATTGTTAAGTCGCTGTTTGGAATGCTTGTGTTTTCTGTAACCACCAACCCATGTGTTCTTTCATTGCTTTTAATCCTACTGTTTCCCAAACAACAAACCTACTACCCAGTCCAGTTTTTGTCAAATTTTACCCACACACAATCCTTACTTACTTTTTTAAACCTTATTTTGAACAAATTAACTTTTTGAAAAAAGAAACAAGTCTAGATAGACCTTTGTTATTTCTTTCTCAACTGTCAAAGTTTATTACAATCTATTTAGAATACCTATAATAAATATAAATTAAAAATGGCAAAGATTTTCTCCCCAATGACTTTAATCGAAACATACATCAAGTTTAGTTACTGAAATGATGTTTACCTCTATAGTTACTGTCGAATCGTTTCAAAAAACACAAGCATCACCAAGAATAATACCGATACATCGCATGGAACTAACCCGATGTTGCTTGCGTGTGGCTACCAGATCTTCAGAACACCGCGATGCCGGACGAGCGCGCCGTCATGACCTACGTCTCTTCGTACTACCACTGCTTCTCTGGAGCGCAGAAGGTCTGTATTGACAACTAACATCTGCTTTCGCCTATTTTCTGTGGCTGTAAGCAAAGGAAACAAGTTGAAATATACATTGATGATATTATCCTGTTTACGCCACTGCTAAATTTCAATTTCGCAGCAGTTTTTTCAGAGCCTAACTAAAATTAGTACCTATTTAGAAACCACCTACCTAATTAGTCAATTGAACTGCAAGCTTGTAACTCGGCTTATACCTACATAATACAGACATTTGAAACCGTTAACGATGCCTACTTTAAAAATGGCTGAAATTTACGACCAAATACTGAAATAAATATTATTTCCCCGCAGGCTGAAACCGCCGCGAACCGCATTTGCAAAGTTCTCAAAGTCAACCAGGAGAACGAACGCCTGATGGAAGAGTACGAACGTCTAGCCAGTGACGTAAGTATATTAAATCGCTTAACACTTTATTTATTGTAATGTAAGCATACCGAAACACGACAAAAACAATCTACTTGTTAGATACAATACCGTCACCCAATCATTAAAGGTTGTCCATAAAGGGTAGTTACAGTAAAAAGGATACATACAACCATATTCTGAACGAAATAACTAAAGAGTGTTACCTTAACCTGTTACAAAATAAAATAATTGCAAAACACCTCCAGTAAAAAAAAAATTGAAAGAAGGAAGTTGAAAAGTCGCCAAAACTCTCTCATCGACTTTAGCCCTTATCCTAATATTAATAAGCCGCAAAATCCCAACAGTTGCTGGACTGGATCCGCCGCACCATGCCCTGGCTGAACAGCCGCCAGACCGACAACTCGCTGGCCGGCTGCCAGAAGAAGCTGGAGGACTACCGCACCTACCGGCGCAAGCACAAGCCGCCGCGCGTCGAGCAGAAGGCCAAGCTCGAGACCAACTTCAACACGCTGCAGACCAAGCTGCGTCTGAGCAACCGCCCCGCGTATATGCCCACTGAGGGCAAGATGGTTTCTGTAAGTAACGACGTCTCTATAAGCTTTATAATCATGACAATGCCTCTTACTTAATTATTCTGTTGGATGAGACATGTAAAGAGATATTTTTAATTTTGAAAAAAAAACCGAGTCATTAAATTATTCCAAGCCCGGTCTGTGAGCACGTAGAATTTTGTCCAATGAGCGACGGGCGCCCGCAGTGAGTGTGCGAGCGTAATAGCAACATAATTACGCGCGAGCGATAAGGATGGGTAGCTTGGGGTCATTGGACAAAATTCTACGTGGTCGCAGTCCAGACTATAGACTTCCAATAATTGAATAAATCTTTGCCCTGATCCTATCAAAATCAAGACTGTTATTTTATATGTTATCCTCATCATCTTCATCATCCTCGTTATCTTTACAGGATATCGCTGGAGCGTGGAAGGGTCTGGAGATCGCCGAGAAGGCCTTCGAGGAGTGGCTGCTCAGCGAGATGATGCGCCTTGAGCGTCTGGAGTACCTGGCCCAGAAGTTCAAGCACAAAGCCGACATCCACGAGGACTGGACCAGAGGTAAATGCTTTTACAGATTTCATCTTGCTAGTCATTCCTCCTACCCTTTGATCTAGTAATAGAATTGATATCACCTCTTTTTCTATTTTTGAACATGTATAAGGAGTCCCAAGGTACATCCTATCTAACGTACCTAACTTTTCCAAAACATTGTTCTTGGCTAATATTCACTTTCTCGAGTTTCATAGACTTCAAAGAATCTTACTTGCCTTCAGTGGCGTAACTATAGGAAACCTCTGAAAAATAACTCTAGGCCCTTGGACCTAGATACACCAAGGGCCCCAGGCACAGAATTTGCCACAGGCCCCGGATGGTATAGTTACGCCACTGCTTGCCTAATGCCTTGACTCACAAATCAGCCAGAAATTCCCCTACCTTTTACATTACGAAGTTTTCATAGAAATCTTTTCGTTACCCAGGCAAGGAGGAGATGCTGCAGTCCCAGGACTTCCGCCAGTGCAAGCTGAACGACATCAAGGCGCTGAAGAAGAAGCACGAGGCCTTCGAGTCGGACCTCGCCGCGCACCAGGACCGCGTCGAGCAGATCGCCGCCATCGCCCAGGAGCTCAAGTACGTAGACTTTCCATGCTATGATCATCAGTTAATAACATTCCTCCTAATTTCCACGTGATTACAATAAGAACGTTCCGATTAAGTAGATACCATATGCCTACCTGTATCCTCTCCAGTAGATATTATAAACGGTCTTGACGAAAGTATCCCACGTCCTAAAGCTGATTACTTTTTGCAGGCAGATGTACTTGTTGAGATGCATGCAGTCGTTGAGTATAAACTGATGGATAGTGATGATTTCAACTGTTTTTGATATCATTTCAACTTTTATAGCAGTTTCGCATAAAAAAGAAGACTTCTTTTCGTGTCGACAACAAACCTACACAAGGTCGCATTGACTGTTTTTAAACTTTCGAAGCATTTTCCTGTCTCCAACACGAGTTAATATCATGTTCGCACAGCGTACAACAGTATACTGAGTTTCCCAGAGATAAGACATTTTTTCACCCTGCATCCTGGAATACCACAAGATATCCAGCGTGAACGAACAACACTAGCAACTTTTTCATAAAAATGTTATTTTCCAGCACCCTGGAATACCACGAGGTGGCCAGTGTAAACGCGCGCTGCCAGCGCATCTGCGGGCAGTGGGACCGCCTGGGCGCGCTCACGCAGCGCCGCCGCCTCGCGCTGGACGACGCCGAGCGCGTGCTCGAACAGATCGACCTGCTGCACCTGGAGTTCGCCAAGCGCGCCGCTCCCTTCAACAACTGGTGAGCTGTAGTACTGAGACACAAGGTAGCCAGCGGAGTCAGTAGCCAAAGTAGCCAGCGGAGCCAGTAGGCAAAGTAGCCAGCGGAGCCAGTAGCCAGAGTAGCCAGCGGAGCCAGTAGCCAAAGTAGCCAGTGGAGTTCGCCAAGCGCGCCGCTCCCTTCAACAACTGGTGAGCTGTAGTACTGAGACACAAGGTAGCCAGCGGAGCCAGTAGCCAAAGTAGCCAGTGGAGTTCGCCAAGCGCGCCGCTCCCTTCAACAACTGGTGAGCTGTAGTACTGAGACACAACAAAAGGTAGCCAGCAGAGCCAGTAGCCAAAGTAGCCAGCGGAGCCAGTAGCCAAAGTAGCCAGTGGAGTTCACCAAGCGCGCCGCTCCCTTCAACAACTGGTGAGCTGTAGTACTGAGACACAAGGTAGCCAGCGGAGCCAGTAGCCAAAGTAGCCAGTGGAGTTCGCCAAGCGCGCCGCTCCCTTCAACAACTGGTGAGCTGTAGTACTGAGACACAAGGTAGCCAGCGGAGCCAGTAGCCAAAGTAGCCAGTGGAGTTCGCCAAGCGCGCCGCTCCATTCAACAACTGGTGAGCTGTAGTACTGAGACACGACAAAAGGTAGCCAACAGAGCCAGTAGCCAAAGTAGCCAGTGGAGTTCGCCAAGCGCGCCGCTCCCTTCAACAACTGGTAAAGTGGTAAGCGATGTCCTTTAGGCAAAGAATGGTCAGTTTCCAATGTAAGCTGACCGGCTGACCAAGTCTTAACAATCAGCTGGCACCCTAATTTGTCAACAAGCTGGCAGTGACGTCTATTCCCGTGGATATCATAAAATGCGACAAACTATCATTTTCATACAGAGTTTCTACCCGTTTTCTGATCTGACCCTCCCATCGATAGATTGCCAGCGCAGATTGCAATCTCTAGTCGTGTATTACATTATTGGAAAGCAGGTAACACAAATCCAGATAGAAATATGACAGTTAACGGATGGATTTGACGAAAGATCAAATATGGAAATCGGGCATAAGGGAATATGCGAAATTGCGAATATCAGCCAGTGTGGCCAGCAAAGGGAATTTTGGCCATATCCTCCCTTTGGTACCTAAATCAAAAGGTGCTGTTCGTGCAGCAGCAACTGAATATTACCTGATGATGTTAGTGATGAATGATGATCAATGACGAAATAACTCCCGTATTATGCACTACATCACATCTGCAGAAGATGCAAAATGGTAGTCCTAGTTTTATGCCTTATTTGCAAATTACTATAATAATAATTTTTCTTTCAGGTTGGACGGAACTCGCGAGGACCTCGTGGACATGTTCATCGTGCACACCATCGAAGAGATCTCGGGTCTCATGGACGCACATGCTCGTTTCAAGGCCACCCTGGGCGAGGCTGACAAGGAGTACCAGGTAAGATCTCCTAAAGAGAACATCATTATGAAAACATGGAAGAAGCATTAATTTCTTTAAACTTTGCTAGTAAATTACTAGATTTGACTAACTGAAAATATCCTTGTTACAGGCAATTGTAAACTTGGTACACCAAGTCGAGTCCATCGTGAAACAGCACCAGATCCCTGGAGGACTGGAGAACCCCTACACCACCCTTACTGCCCACGTAAGTTATAGTCTAAATGCAGTACGTGACCCATGATGCTCCCTTGTGACACTCTTTCTTTAAGATAACTATAGGATGATTGTGACAATCATACCTATTTAAAAAAGGTCTTATAATTACTTAGCATTGAATCATGAATTGAGTTGAGTTAGGCTCAAACTGTAAACTAAAGTTTGAGTTGAGTTCGAAATCCGTATTTAAAACTATATCAAACGCTTCATTCTGGTATTTTTTCTGTGCTAAGACTTTTTTTTGCATTATTATAACCAAATATTTTACACAACTGCAGAATTGATACTTTTACAGCAATATGCATGCATCAGCCGCTATTAGGTACTTGTTTGTTAACATTTTAACTGCAATAAATTATTTTTCTCACCAGGAATTGAACCGCAAGTGGTCGGACGTGAGGCAGCTTGTGCCACAGCGCGACGGCACGCTGGCGGCCGAGCTGCGCAAGCAACAGAACAACGAGACACTCAGACGCCAGTTCGCCGAGAAGGCCAACGCCGTCGGGCCCTGGATCGAGAGGCAGATGGACGCCGTTACTGCCATCGGAATGGGCTTGCAGGTAAAGTCTCATTCCATGGATAAAATATATGTACCTACAGTGAGAATTATTGATCCAAACACACACACATTTTGTGACAATAAAAGCTATACAGCAATGAACAACCAGTAACACCAGAAACTCTTGAAATATTAAAATTTCAGATTACTGAACATTACCAAGAACTAAACTGTTATTAATTTGGAAACATACCCTGGAAATATTTTCGTCAGTTTTTGACATGCTATGGTAATAATACGACGCGACGGTTGTTTATTTCAGGGCTCTCTGGAAGACCAGCTGCACAGACTCAAGGAGTACGAAGCCGGCGTTTACGCTTACAAACCACACATCGAGGAGCTCGAACGCATCCACCAGGCTGTGCAAGAAGGCATGATCTTCGAGAACAGGTTAGATATAAATACTTATCAAATCAAAAATCAGTCATGTGGTCCCGGAAGAGTAAAGTAGAATAGGACCCGATTCTCGTCGATCAAAAGATTAACTATGACACCAATAGCCGAACATCAGTTCCCCCAACCCATGGTCACCATGGGAAGTGGAGGCCCAATCCTTCACTTGCTTTTGATAAATTAAAGAGGATTATGATAAGAATAGATAAGAAAAGAGAGATAAGAGAGAAGATAAGATAAGAAAAACTTTATGACACAAAAAGAAAATCAAAAAAGAACAATTGTGCTTCTGCAGTGGCGACTAAATGACGTGTGATGATGACCAAATCGAATCATTGCTTAAGCAGGTCTGCTTAAGTCCAAATAATAATGTAAGATCTATACCTAGGTACTTATAATTAAAAAATCTTTCCAGGTACTCACAATACACAATGGAGACCCTCCGCGTGGGATGGGAACAGCTGCTGACGTCGATCAACCGCACCATCAACGAGGTCGAGAACCAGATCCTGACGCGCGACTCCAAGGGCATCACGCAGGAACAGCTCACAGAGTTCCGCGCTTCCTTCAACCACTTCGACAAGAACCGAACTGGTGAGGAATACGTTCCCATTAAATATTACAGCCAAAAAAAATTATGCTGCTCTAAGACACTATCGATGGGGCAACAATCATTGGGGCAATAGACAAAAGCCCCCAAATAAATAAAGATAAAAAGACACTTATCACTACAAAATCTCCTCCAATACGCATTGTGTCGTAGGTCGTCAGATGGTTTTGGCAAAAAGAGATTTTCACATTCAAATAAATATGAAAGACCACTCATAAGACAAAATAATAGATATCGAAAATAGTAAATTTCATGCTAAATTTCCTTTTCACAGGCCGCCTAGCACCCGAAGAACTCAAGTCGTGCCTGGTATCCCTGGGCTACAGCATCGGCAAGGACAGGCAAGGAGAGCTCGACTTCCAGCGCATCCTCGCCGTCGTAGATCCCAACAACACAGGTACAATAAAAATCTTTGCCATAATGGACCTTGTTCGTCATCTATAAAGTGCAATTTTGAATATCTAACCGTTAAAATTGTACTTTCTCCCTGCACCCTTCTGATGTTGTTTTTCTTCATAGGCTACGTATCATTCGACGCATTCTTGGACTTCATGACAAGGGAATCAACAGACACAGACACCGCTGAGCAAGTCATCGACAGCTTTAGGATCTTAGCTGGTGACAAGGTAAATACATCCACAGCTCGCACCGCTCGCACACTCACTGCGGGCGCCCGTCGCACAGCGCGACAACAATATAATTACGCGCGAGCGATAAGGATGGGTAGCTTGGGGTCATTGGACAAAATTCTACGTGCTCACGGACCAGGCTTTACCAGCGTCACTTAGATTGCTTTAAAAGTCCTTGATCTGTAAGTTCTCTTTAAGCTATCAGCATTATCTTGCCAATTCTTAAAACTCTTTCCATTTTTCAGCCATACATCACCGCCGACGAGCTGAGGCGCGAGCTGCCGCCCGACCAGGCGGAGTACTGCGTGGCGCGCATGCCGCCATACCGTGTGCCCGGCGCGCCGCCCGGCTCGCTCGACTACATGGCCTTCTCCACCGCCCTATACGGCGAGACCGACCTTTAGGTAACACCCGAGGCAAAAAACCCTCAATGATCATCCATATATTACAGAGAAGCGTACCGGTAAACGCAGCGTAGGTCGTCCACCCACAAGGTGGACCGACAACATCATTAAGGTAGCAGGGAAGCGCTGGACGCAGGCCGCTACCAATCGATTAACATGGAAAGCATTGGGGGAGGCCTATGTTCAGCAGTGGACGTCCTATGGCTGAAATGATGATGATGATGAAAGAGAAGACGGCGAGACCGACCTTTAGGTAGCACCTGAGTGAAAAAAACTCCTCTCAATCCAAATCCTTCGTCGCCGTTTCAGCCAAAGGACGACTACTGCTGGACAATGGCCTCCTTCAAATTGTGGAAATCGTTGGATTTGCAAAGGCAAAAAAATCAATAGAAAGTTTACTCATCATTATTTTTCAGATGTTTTAGTTTAATGGTGGGAGTTGAGAAGGGGTGCAAGTCTTCTAACAGATTGTGGACGTGTTAATCTCTTTACTAGACATTTATAATCATAAAACGTTCAATATGCTTTTTATTGTACATGACAAATGTTTTGGTTGAGAAAAACAAAAAATTGGCGTCACTCCAGTTTTTAGTTGGGCCGATGCCTACATTCCTTCCAATTATACTAACCGTGCGTCAACTTTATACTCAAGGATGCTTTGCTTAGATCCAGGTCGTAGGAGCATCGGACGTCCGAAGCCAGCCATCAGGGAACGCAGCCGCCAATGCACGAGGGACGCACGCGGCACTGACGTAACGAACCACAATCATTATTTCCCTTATATTGACCAATGGCCCTAAATCGTCAATGTAGCGCAAATAATTTTTGTAATGTTTAATATTATTAGTCTTTTATAAACAGTTCTATTAAATACATATGTGCAATGTTCAAACCAAAAATGCCATTAACTTTCATACCATGGAACTCTTCTCCCTAATGTCTAGTAACCTTTTGGCTCAAATCAGAGAAATCATTTATATGTTTACATCTCTCTATTTATACATTATTAGCATTAGGTATTTTTAACTTTTATATGGAATTCTCAGAGAAGTCACAAAACTTATTTGTAAGGTAAAATGGTGCTAATGTTAGGCTTGACTAATGTGTGACACCAAAATAAGACTCATACACATTGTGAGAATGTTTTTGTTATATTTTTTTATTTGTAAGCAAACATTTATTTATAAAAGTTCATTTTTTTTTAATTACTGCCATTAGTAATTATAGTACTGCGATGGTAGGAGCATTATCAAAATTTATAAATGTTGCAGGGAAGTGTCACACAAATTATTTATATCACATAGATTGCCATAGCTTGCCTGCATCTATTTATTTATCATTTGAATATCATTTTTATATGATTTATCGTTTTTGAGAGTATTTTGGAAGGAGTACTCAAAATAAATGATCTGCCATATTTTCGTCTTTTAATAATGACTGCGTTGTTAATCCAACCAATTATATTATGATGAAGGAAGTGGTGCGTAGAATAAGAATGGATTATGTGCCCAAAAGTATACTAACTCGAATGTACAGCTAATTTAATAAAGAGCTCTTAAACACAAAAAACGTGTATTCATTTTTAACTTTACAGTACTTTATTAACTATCTAAAACATAACAAACAACTAATGTTTAAATAATATGCTACTCTAGGTACAAAAACATGGTTTGCATCAGTAAAAGATTATGTTACATCATTATTATCCTAAAGATCATTACAATTTGTGCATGATAGGTTTATTTCAATAGCCAAGAGTATCATTTCAGTAACACTTCTACTCTGATAGCATAAAAGCAAGAACATTATCATAAAAACCGGTTCTGGTATAGAAATAAATTAATTAAAGAATGCAAATATCCAAGACCGATATCCACTTGTACTGTGTTTTTTGCTTATCTTGTATCCTTTACATAATGTTGCATTTCATTTTTGTTATAATAATAAAATTAATTTCATATTTGAACTGCCCCAAATTATTTAAACAATATCAATTATCAACAATGTCATTGTTGCAAACAGCAAAATATGCAATAATATAGTACCTTACCAAGAAGATTCTTGTCATTTAAAACGTAGCTTTGATACTATTTCTTTTCCTCGGTTTTTGGTTCTGCTGCAGTAAGCAAAGCACTCTTGATGCCGACTTTCTTCAGCTCCTCAACAAGTTCCCCTGACTGATGCATCTGCAGCATTATGTCACAGCCTCCGACAAACTCGCCATTGATAAAAACTTGTGGAATCGTAGGCCAACTTGAGTAATCTTTAATTCCTGAAAGTAATGATAAAGAGAAGTTATAACTTTTTTAATCATTTTAAGAGGACAGAATTTTAATAGCGATTTGCTACCACAGACAGTTTGGAAAGTATTAAAGAACATAGTACACAAAAAAAAATTTTTTAGAAGTATTGTTTCTTTTCTAGTGTTCCAGGACAGTTGAGAAACCATGACCACTGAGGGCAACTGAGTCACTGGACTCCACCCTACCCATGACAAAGAACAGTGCAAACGGACACAGGAGTGGATTATTGTAGTTCCCTACAGATTGCCGCTGGGACCACGGATATAAGAGAGAAAGAAGTATTGTAAAGACCAATTGCAACAATTTTTTATCAAATTTAAGTCAAATCAAGTCTAAGAATGTGAAATTAAAGTCAACAAACAACTTTAAAAATAATGAAAACTGCTTTTACCAATAAATATAATTGTGCATGATGCACAAAGAATATTCCAATGAGACTAGTCAGAGTCTTGGGCCAAAGCTTGGCTTCCCAAGCTTCTATGGCTTAGTAGAAATTAATTGGTAAAAAAACTAACCTTGTCTAAGATTTTCGTCGGAAAGAACATCGTGACTGTCGTAAGGAACTGCGTGCATTCTCATGATCTGTACAACCGCATTACTGAATCCACATCTAGGAGCATCAGGGACTCCTTTCATAAAAACAACAACTTTGTTATTTTTCACAATTTTATCAATTTTTTCTTTTGTTGCAGCATCGGCGTAGGGACGATAAGTTAATTTTACAGCGTTATTGTAAATAGGCAAAATATTTCTTCTGAATAAGTTATTCATTTTTATTATATTCAAATCCTAATTTATTTCGTAAGAAGCCCAAAAAAAACCTGTTTTTTTATTCGGAAAATTGGAGCTGAAATATCCATCAATCAAATATAAATGACATGACACATGACAATGACAGCTTGACAGCCAGGCCAGCTGATAATAGTGTTGTGGTGCTATCCAACTACCATTCACCCCGCCAGCCAGTTCTGTAGGGTGTGAATCTACCTTTATAAATTCATTGGCATATTGGCAAATATGAATTTCTCCATTCCGTGATCGCTTCTGACGTTTACTTTGTCTGTGGTTGATGGTCCTTGTTTGTCTATGGTTTTGGTTGACAAGAAATTACCTTGCTTTCTGTTTGGTGAAATTTATTTTTCTTCTTCAGTGTTTAAGATTGCTTTACATGAAAATGGAAAACGCAGAAGAAATATTTCATTTCTTAGAAGAATTCTCCAAGCGTAAACCTAAAACTATACCACAAGAACTAAATGACTACTTGGCTTACGTAGCCCGCACCGGTGATCCAGTCTACCAGTGGGCTCTTGTGAAGGCTTTATTCAAAGAAAAGCTGCTCAATGTTATCACTGACTTCTACGAAACGACACCCGGCATTGACATACCACCTTACCCAAATGTAGACCCATTCAATTATGACACAATGAAGAACAGTTTACTTGAGCGTCTGGATTCCTTCACTTCGGCACCTTTCACAGTTCAACGAATTTGCGAGCTCTTAACGTGTCCCCGTAAACAGTACCATCGAGTAGATAAATTTATGAGAGCCATTGAAAAAAATATTCTGGTTGTAAGCACAAGAGAGCCCGGAATTCAACGCCACATAGAAATAGAGAATGGTGAGCCCATGGAAGCCATAGTCAATGGTTCTGATAATAATTCCGAGTATAATGTTGATGTTGAAATGGAGGAAATGTCTTGGAAAGAAAATGCAGAGCCTACACAAAGCAGTGAGCCTCAACCAAGCTCGTCCGATACTCATATTTCCATAGAAGACATAGAAGCAAGACTGAAAGCTAAGCAAGAACAAAAGGTGTCCTTTACACAAGACAAAGCTACCACTCAGTATGAGTCTGTGACACCACCTGAACTGAATGTGACATCAGATGAACAAGTAACAGAATCAAAGCCTACAGAGGAATTGGCCCAACAACCAACCACATCATCTGTTGAAGAACCTAAACCTGACCAACCTGAACCTGTGAAACCAGTAGACACACCTGCACCCTCTGAATCACCTAAACAAGATGAAGAAATGGCAACGGAAACCACTGAACATCAAAGTCAAACTTTAGTGATTCCAGAAATCAAAGTTGATGATGCTGAAATGACAGAACAAAAACTTACTGAACAAGAACCCACAGAAGTGAAACTTGACCCTGTGCCTATAGAGAAGGAACCAGAACCTTCTGTGGAACCTGAGAGTAAGCCTGCATCGGAAGAGCCACCAATCACTACTGATGAGAGCAGTTCCGACTCAAACCCTAAAGAAGAGACTGACAGTAAGCTGATTTCAGAGATCCAAACATCAAGTGAGGAGAGTTCATCCTCAAGCGACAATACTGATGCTAACAGTAATTCTCCAAAGACCGTGGAGTCCAACACAGAAACTCAGGAAGAGTCTAGTCAGTCTGACGCTGCTATGGAGGAGCCTGCGAAACAAACAGAGCCAGTCGAAGTGCCTCCTCCAGCTACAGTGGAGGAAACCCCACAAGCCCTTGAGACTGATAACTATTCAATATCAGATGTGAAGTCAGAGCTGCCCCAGCCTCCTGCGGAACCAGCTAAGACAGAAGAACCTATAGAAAATAAGGAAAAAGTGGATGACACACCTTCAGAACCAGAGAAAGAAAATGTAGAGGTCAAAATGGATAGTACTGAAACACCTACAGAGAATCCATCTGTTGAGGCCTCATAAATTGTCACAACGTTTTTTAATGCGACAGAGCATCAACCCTTAGATAAGTCTGATGAGTATTCAATTAACTTCTTTTGTTAGAATTAGGAAAAAAAATAATAAACTCAGAGTAATTCTGATAACCAAAAATAAACCTTTGCCTACAATTTTAGTATTTCTAATTACAACTGAATATAGTATAGTGAATATCAATAGTAAATTTTTGGATTAGAACATGACCAGTACATACAGAGTTAATATTATTTATTGGATCACATTTAATGTATTAATCATTTAACTTTTCAAGCATTGTATTCCGATCTCAACAGACCAATTTGTGGTTAGTGCAGCACTAATTTCTGGCTAAAATATTTGTGAATTTTAATTATAATTTTTAGGTTTATATTTGTACGTGAAAATAATGAATTCATTCCTAAAAATGTGTATCAATTCCTACCATAGTTTAGGATTGGCAAAGTGATACCTACCCATTTTTGTGATGAAATCTTATATAATTTTACTGGGTTAAATTAAACAAAAAAATATATCAACAATTTATTTACATTTAAATAATTATATACAGTAGGTATGTTTAAGAAGGCCTCATAAACACGAGCGGCTCATACCCGACGGCAACGGCAGCTGTCGCCATCTTGGCGGCAACGCTGCCGCCAAAAGGTGGCATCAGCTGCCGTTGCCACTGCCTTCGGCTTTGAGCCGCTCGTGTATAAGAAGCCTAAAAAACTTATCTAACAAAGATCATTTCTATAAAAATAGAATTATTCAATATTTAACTAAAATGCCTATGTAAAAGTAACATCAGTCCTATTACTCTATCAAATCCTAGTAAAACTAGATCTTCTAAGTAGTATGTTGTATTGTAGCATCATACTTAATACCACTAAGTAATAATACTCGTAATAACGAGTCGTCCTAACTACCTAAACAAATAATACTAAGTTAAAACTGGAATTACTTTTTCCGTCCCAGCACTTTGAGTTCGTTCCTCATGATTTTACCGGCGGCGTTTCGTGGGATGGCGTCGAGGAAGGCTACTCCGCCTTCGAGGTGTTTGTATTTAGTGAGTTTTTGGGCGACGAGGTCGTATACTTGTTTCTCGGTGAGTTTGTGGTTGGGCTTGAGGACTACGAAGGCTTTGGGCAGTTCTCCGGCGAGTGGATCTGGCATTCCGACTACGGCCACGTCCGCTACTTCGGGCTGTTCCATTATTACGCTCTCGATCTCGGTTGGCGATACCTGAGAAGAACAAAAAGTTTGTAAGTACTAACTAAAATAAAAAAGATACAAAAAAATAACGCCTGATCAAATGTTAATACATAAACGCTCTCTAGTTAAACTTGCTCGATCTTGTCATTCGATAGTGAAATGATAAATAACTTGATTCGATTATCGTTATATTTTCATAATGTTAAAATAAGAGAAAAATCCCAAGTAAAAAAACTTAGTAGATCATAATTGAGTAACAACCCGATCGACCGACCACTTCCCCGCGTTCGCCGTTTATTCCCGATGTCCCCCACTATTTGTCCACCACTGGTGGACATCGAGAAAAAAAGTTGCAATGTCCACCAGTGGGGGACAGCGCTACTGAAATCTTCCCGTCGGGCCCTACTGGTGGACACTGAGAAGAAATGAGTTGCTCTGTCCTTCAGTGGTGGACATCGAAACCAAAAAAGTTCCGTTGTCCTCCACTATTATATTTGTGTTCATGAATACAAACATTTTAAGTAAATCTTATACTAATAATTATAATACATACATTTTTAAAGCATTTTTATTATAGTTTAAAACAATCCTTATTTATACTGACGCCCCTAGGAAGTGTGCGTTAATCGGAACGGTTTTGTCATTTTTAATTTTCCAAGTACCCACAATGTTCATGTTATCAGAAATTATGGTGCAGTCCTGTTGTTCCCCCTGCTTGGCNCCGAAATTATTGTGTCGGTAATGTTACTATTTTGCACTTATTATCTGTAATAATGTCGGAAATTGCAGGATCTAGTTCACGACAAATAGAAAAAGTTTACATAAATAGGAAAGGTGGGATGTTAAAAAACTGAGAATTAAATTTGATACGAATTAAAAAATATATTTTTTAATAATCACGAAAACAAAACAAATAGTGGGGGACAATGGAACTTTTTTGGTTTCGATGTCCACCACTGAGGGACAGAGCAACTCATTTCTTCTCAGTGTCCACCAGTAGGGCCCAACGGGAAGATTTCAGTAGCGCTGTCCCCCACTGGTGGACATTGCAACTTTTTTTCCCAATGTCCACCAGTGGTGGACAAATAGTGGGGGACATCGGGAATAAACGGCGTTCGCTATGTCCCGTAACACAGCGTCGATGTGATGTCACTGCCAGATGCGCAGTTAACTCGACCGGGTTGTAAATAGTCTGCTGCGTCTTACCTGGTTCCCTTTGACCTTGATGAGCTCCTTCGTCCTGTCCACGATGTAGAAGTAGTGCTCGTCATCGTAGTACGCCACGTCGCCGGTGTGCAGCCAGCCTTCGGGATCCACCGTCTCCTTTGTAGCTGCTTCGTTGTTCCAGTATCCTTTCATCACCTGAAATTACATTATACTTGAGTAGGTAAGCTTCAAGCAAGAGTCATTGCTAGGTACATATCTGTGTTGCTACTAGTCAACTCTAAATTAAGCAAATAATTAATCATTCAATATAAAAACTGTTCTCGCGGTCGCGTCGCAGTGCATAATCTGCAGTAAAATGTGTGGTCTACATTAGTATCGGATTTAAGTGACTGTAGGCAAGTAGTCATTTGAAGAATTACCTACAGTTTAGGTAGTCCATTTGCATTACCTACACCAGCCTACACGCAACGTTAAAAAAATGTTCATAGTCCAAGAGACAGTATCCCTACTCTCATAATTACATTGATACCTCAGTTGATACTATGTTTAGGCGCGTATATTCCGGTCGCCATTATGACTGTCACTAAACTCACCGTGCCCCAGAAAACGAAATGTAGTGCCAAGGAGTGCAATACTTTGAAATAGTTTGCACAAATTCAATCTGTCCACATTTTGCACAATACCGGGCAAGTTGCAAGGTTAATGTTACAGACTTTTTGTTCAGATTAAATACATTTTAGTGTTAATAAAATTATTATGAAATGAAATCTAGACACGCGGCCGCGCGGTAAGCTCCGGCCAAGTTC